TCTACCACTTAGAGTCTCTCTAGGCAGTGCCAGTATCTTCTGTGGGCTGATTATAAGTAGGCATGTAGGGAGGGGGATGTACAACAATATATTCCTACCTTCGATATCTAGGGGTCAGAGAATAAATCAAGTCTCTAAAAAGTCCCAAAGGGACTTCTGATTTTCAAGTTCACCAGATATTTGGGTTGCAAAACAAATGGGGAATACAGATATTCTAAGACTTTGAGGGGGGAAGTGGCAGGAAGGTGTAGCAAAACTGTCAATATGCAGACAGATCTCAGCCCCTAAGGACCTGCCTCTTTGGCAAAACCTGAAAATCCCCAATAGATTAGCAGGTAGCACTGCATATGTTTTCTAGTGATATCTCTAGAGTAGAAACACCATATGCCCTCTTAGTATCTATAGTAAAAATATATCCTTCTATGCATTTTGAATTTATTTCATTTGGGGATCTCAGAAGGGGGGCATATTTAGTTACTCTAATAACAGTAAACCTCCTACAGTAAAACTTCCAAACAGTCCTTCTTTTTATCATGGTCAAATACTGATAAGGCCATCAGTTTAGTTATTTAAATGGTAAATGGTTATGTCCTTCAGTACAACAGTGGATAATTTCAGAGAACTTAAACATTACTTAATATAAGTTGTTCTTGTTGGTTTTTATATTTCTACTAAAGATGTAATATTCCTTTCAGGAGGTCTGGACACTTCACTCTTAACGTGTCACTGCAGGTATAGAATTTGGAGGGACTTGCATTTGCACCTGATTTGAAGGACCTTCAATTTTCTGAATTGGTTGGTGGCCATCCTCATCCTGTAATAGGCAAACTTATTTTTATACTGTTTATTGACACTAAGATGCTTGGAAATACATAGATTATTTCTCTGTGGAGAAACAATCTAGTTTCCTCAGTTTCAGACTGGAAGAATGAGTCCTGGCTGCTTTCTCCTCTGTCCTTCAAAATGCTTTCATCCACCCTCAAATTTAAAAAAAGGTTAATTTAAAAAAATCAACAAATAGAGGAATTGTAATGAAACCAGAGAAAGCACTTACCTCATATTCTGAATTATTTGTTTCAAGAGAATAAAGCTCAATCTGTATCTAGAGCCTTTATAAATACACAACTATGCTGAGTCAAATCTAATTATGGCATGACCAATTATTCAATATTATTGTGTTTTATTAGCCTTTCTTCTACACAGAATGAAACATCTGAAGCCCAAACAGCAAAATTTACTTGATCCATTATATTGTTTAACGAATGTACAACTCTGAACAATATAATCAGCTACTCGTAAAGCTTATGGGAATAATAGCCAGTGACAATCTGTTGGCATTTAACCATCTTCACAGCCTCTTTCCCTCTAGGTTTATTCCTAAAGATCCTAAAGATCTTGAAACTTGGACAGTGACTTTAACAGTATTTTTTTTTTCAAAGCATCAAAAAATCTTGTGCAGACCTGTTTTCTCTGCTGGTCGGTTCAGCATGGTTTGATACGTAAACAGGGAGAGGAGCAATGCACGCAGCAGAATGAACCCCAGGGTAGTCCACCAGCTGTTGATTTTCTTCACAAAACCCCTGTTGGGCTGTTTTGGATCTGTGACTAAGACAGCATTGATAACTATTGCTAAACAGTGATTGCACAGCATCAAAACCTTTTCCTTTTCCCAGTCTGTCACTCCCCCTGTGACCCTGCTGAGGGATGGGCAAGAGGTTGGAAGATGACACAGCTGGGATAGCTGGCTCAGATTGGCCAAAGGGATTTTCCAAAGCACACATAGGGTAATTCAGCAACTGAAGCTTTGCTTGTGTATTTTTTCCTTTTCTTTCCTTCACCTATTAAAGTGCCTTTATGTCATCCATTTCATTTTCTCACTCTTATCTTCCTATTCCCATTCCTCTAGAGGAGATGGAGTGAGTGATCAGCTGGGGCTAAACCTGGCTAGCAGCCAGAGTCAACCCACTGCAACCTCATCTGAATTTAACAAGCTTGAATTTCCTCCACACATCATCGTTTATTTTCATAAAACTTTCATAAATTTAATGAAGATAATGTCACTATAGAAAGGCAACCTTTGGAATTCCTTCTCATCAGATCGTCTTGCAGTGAGGAATGGAGAAAAAAAGGCTTTCCTATTAACCAGCAGTATTGATAAATCTTAAAAATCTTGCCTTTTTTATTAAAAGCACAAATATAAAACAGATATTCCAGGATGACTAAATCCTATTAATAATAGTTCTCTTTTCTCTGTACTCCCTTACTTCCCACCCTACATCCCTGAAGAAGGCTGCTTTTAAATCTTGTCCAAAAAACTTATTTTAATGCTATTTTTAGATAAGACTTGTTAAAGAGTTGCTTCCACTAGAAGAGGAGAATATATATTGCAAAATGTCCTTCTGAATTTTTCAAGTACCATCCCAGTAACTAGAAAATTTTTAGTAATTACAGCATGCTATTTCTGTTACTTTTTAGGAAATCTATGTCGTAGCAAAAATTGTAGGCAAGGTAACCTTTTTGTAATCTATGTATGGCCTCTGCTAAGGCCATATCCTCAGTATGAAATGCTCCTCTGTGCTGAGAAGGCATACAGACTTGATCTGATGCGAATCTCAATTTATTTTATTTTTTAAAATTAAGTTTATGATACTAATATTAAAGAAATCTCAGTTTTAAAAGGACATATCAGCTCAGAACTCATTAAACTACAACACAGAGCCATCTCACTAGGTCAGGCTATCTTGCTAGATCTGCCAAGAGTAGGTGTTTTTAAACTCTTATTTACTTCAGGACATATATTTCTGCAAAATCATTGTGGTACCACTGCTATCTTTTGTATTTTTTAGAATAGAACAAGCTATTTTCCTCTTTATTGCAGTTTTTATTCTATTTCACTTTGGTTTATTTAATTTAATTTAATTTTACTACATTTCATTTTCGTTTATTTAAATTATTAAACTTCTTTTATCTTAACTCATTAATTTTCTCACTTTCACCTTTCTGATGCTTTCTTCCCATCTTGATGGGGTGAGCAAGCAGCTGTGTGGTGCTCAGTTACTGGCTGTGCTTAAAACAAGTCAAGTAATAATGTTAGTTTCACAACTTAAACAAAAATCTATTTTCATCTTTATGGAAGAAAAATATGAGAGTGCCATTATTGTGTAAAAAAAACAACTTTCAACAGTCATGGAAATTCCAAAATAAAACACTCCATTTGTCTCATAGTATCTAACACTAACAAAAAATTTTAGAATCATTGATTATCTGGAAAAAGGGAGATGAAACACTAAGGCCCAAAACTGAGGGGAAAATCAGAAATAGGTATTTTTCAGCTCCGCTCAGTTCTTATTAATGTCACTAAGACCTCTTCACACTGACTTCACAGTACAGTGGGAGAAACTTAACAACAAAAGAACTTGAGGTTAAAGACTAGATAAAAGATGCTTTTTCTGAAGAGAATTGAGATCTTTACAGCAGAGGACTGTGATGTTGTTAAAATGCCTAAATTTTCAGTAAATGCAGAAAATTTGAAGTTTTCATCAACAAAGGAAGTTATTAAAAAACCGCAATAGATGTGTAATATTGGTGGCAAGTTTATGCAGGATAACCTATTTATCCAAAACTCCTTCTGAGATCTGTATTTTTAATGGAGCAATTGTTAGCTCAATACCAAAGGCAATACATTATTTATTATAAATTACTGCATGAATCTGATGTGTATTTCTGCAACCTGGACATGGATGTAATTTCTTAATTCTTGACTAAACCGTTTGACAAAGCATTTAGCTTTAGCAATTTCCTCTTCAGTAATCTCAATACTATTAGACCTTTTTACTCAAGGTTTTTGGCCCCTACAACTAAATAAACAATAAAGCAGAATTCTGCCATGTCCTGTGCCTCCTTGGGCATGTTGGCAAAACATGGAAGAGCATGCTCATGCATCTGTAAAGGAAGAAGGAGCTTACTGACTTAGGTGAGGTTTAGGGAAGAGCACCTAGGTCTGTGTCTTCTCCAGTACTCCACATGAGGTGGTGAACCAGAGAAGGGAGGATGCTGCTCCTCTGTGCCTGGGAATGTAAGGAGGGAAGTTTCTGTAATCACTTGTGCGTTATCTCATAACTCTATACAATCTTGTCCACAAGCCTGCTCATTTTTTTAAGGAGTATAGTAAGGATGATCCACAGATGAGTATGTTTCTCATTCAGTATTCCCTGATAGTTTTGGACAAATACGCAATTTATATTTTTATTGTTTAGATCTATAAATTTGTCTCAAATTACATAACTTGCAATTAGCTTTAATATTCACTTAATTTCCTATACTCAAATTATAAATTTATTTCAAAGATTCAGGTAGACAAGGATGGATAACAAGCTCAGTAATGATAGCCAACTCAGTGTTATTTTTCTTTTAGTTTTGCCTGTTAATTACCGGAAGAAAATGAGGAAGAACTTGAAAGCAATTCTCATGAACACATGAAACAACAAAACAAAACTATTCAACAGTACTTTCAACTGCCAACAATGATTACAAAATGGTCTCTGCTGCATTACTCAGATTCTAAGAAACTAGGTTCCTTGAACAAACCTGAGGGGGAGCAATACAGCCTAGGGGACTACTCAGACAGGAGGAAGTCATAGCTGATTTTAGAAATTCGTGAGGTAACTGTCTGTTCCTCATTTTATTTCCTCTTATTTCTTATGATTGAGGTGTAGTTTGTTTGCTTAGAAATTTGATCTTGTACAATTCTCAAAGATAATTATGATGTAATTTTCAATGCAATTTTTCTGGATGTTTAATACAGTCAGTGTTTCTCACAGAAAAATATTAAAAGTTACTGAGGTTGCATACTCCTTAAGATATGTAGTCTCAGCATGACAAAGAAATACAATAGTCTTTAATATTGTCAATGAGATATATGTATATGTGTATATGTAAATATTGTCTGTAAATTTTTCCCACACACTGTCCCTTAAATGACACTCTGTCCTTGTGTACCATGGTTTTGGCTGGGGTAGAGCTGATTTTCCTAGTAGATAGTATGGGACTGTGTTTTGGATTTGTGGTGAATATGGTGTTGATGTCACAGGGATGTTTTAGCTACGGCTGAGCAGTGCTCACACAGCATCAAGGACTTTTCTGCCCCTCACACCACCCCACCAGCGAGGGGCTGGGGGTGCACAGGGAGCTGGGAGGGGGCACAGCCAGGACAGCTGACCCCATCTGACCAAAGGGATATTCCAGACCATATGGCTTCATGCTCAGTGCATAAAGCTGGGGGAAGAAGAAGGCAGTAGTTCAGAGTGATGGGTTTGTCTTCTCGAGCAGCCATTGTGTGTGACAGAGCCCTGCTCCCCTGGAGATGGCTGAGCATCTGCCTGCCCATGGGAAGAGGAGAATGCACTTGTTCATTTAGACGGACCAGCTATCATTCTTTCCCAAACACTGGGTTCTGATTTCAGGACTGCTCTCTATTCTAGTATGTTTCACACATATGTTGCTGGAGTGGGTTTGCAGCTCCATTGAAATCAAGAACCAAAGCAAAGACCTGAGGGTTAATGTGATTGCAATCGAAATCATTGAAGCTTGTCACCTTACAATCCTTTTTTACAAACTTTACTTTTAATTATGTACAGATATATGAGTAAAGCATTCAGCCTATTTATGAGTCTTTGCTTTTACATGTACCATGGAATAGAGCTCTTTTACCTTTGCATCTGGATTGGAATGCAGAGCACATAAGCCAGTTTGCAATCTGTGATACCTAGAGAGGTTAGTTGGTCTGGACTGCATCATCTCAACTCTAAGGCTGTTCAAGGGAAGGCAAATTCCGACCTTCCCCAAAAAGATTTCTCCCTGGGAAACATTCCCAACTCCTGACAGTGCCAATTTTCTGCCATTTTAGCACTTCGTATGTGCCACGTTTCCCGAGATTCATTCACTTGAAATTGAGAAATGAGTTTGACATTCAGATGAATGCATCTATATCCCCTCATACGTGTCCAGTGTCTGCACGCTTATGCAGGTCTTTTCTGATCCATACCAGAGGATAGTTAGCTACTCTGAAGAGTGATTAGGTAAGAAACAGGCTTTTAATATTCTGTGTTGCTGTCTTTGCTGGCTAATAGCAAAACAAGAGTTCTGCCACTCTAAGCATCTGAAACTCAGTGGCTAAGGAGCCAAGACAGATTTTCTTAAAAGCATGCAGTCATTTAGAAAATCCAGTGTTATTTCCATTCACCTGCCTTCTTTTTTAGGTAATAAAAGACCGTGGCATTTGAATGAAATGGAGCATTTTAAATGTTGTAAGTAGTCTTTCTATATTTTTTCACTCACAGACTTGTTTTGAAGGAGTTTAAATGGTGGCTTTCAAAGATATTGAAGACACTGCTTGTAGAAAAAGCAAAAGGCTCTCTTTGAGAATCTTCCAGAAGAGATCATCAGTACTTTTACAGGAAATTTATTTTTATATTCTGTAATTTGTTGAAGGCACACTTTAAGGGCCAATCTCAATAATAGATTCTGAAATACTTATCTGCCTACTGACTTGTAGGCAGGCATGAAAGCTAAAACGAGCAGCACACATTGCTTCCTTTCATATGATGAAAGATCCAGTGCCTGTACCAATTCTACAATTTCTGTAGAAGATTGTCTATGGAATTGGGCAGATAATTGCCTTTCTCCTTACTTTTTTATGATCCAAATGAGAAATTGATGTAATCTCCCAAAAGTATTTTCATGCATTTAATTTATTTTCTCTTGTTTTTCATTCTAAATGCACAGGGAGCAGACAGCAAACAATTAAGAGAGAATTTTTCCATTTATCAATAAAAAGAATACTTTGGAGATAAACATGATGGGGAGAAAGAAGTTATTTGGAATTATTGAGTGGTGCAAGAAACTTTATTCTCCTGAGCTGTGTGTGGTCTTGCAGGTAAAATAGCTCAGTGAAAGAGTAAGACTGCTTCTTTTAAGAGTGATTTAAGAGAACATGAAATGTCATCTTCCAGGCTCTTACTCAGTTTTCTGCAGCTTACTAGGAGAGTGAAGTGGGATCTGAAAAAAATTACCCTCAGTTCTTTGTCACTTATTTTGATTTTTTCAATAAAGTTGCCAGCAAAGGAATCTTTGTTAGGATCTTGTTTTTATAGAAAACAGAGGCCGGCTTTTGCTATATATATTCAGTTGGCTGTGAGGATTTACAGACTCTAAGACGGATGAATGAAATTTCCATCTTTTAATATAGAAGGAGAAGAAAAAGCAAGAACCTTCTTCTCTGAAAGGTGGTTCAGATAAACAACACATAGAGGTTTAGCAACCTCTAGATCAAAACAGTTAAATAGTGAAACAAAAGTATGAGAAATTAAAGATTTTTAAAAATCTTTACTTACAGAAAAAGACCAGTTTTTATATTATAAGATCTTCCATTATTTTCTATGTAAGATAGAAGAGAATATTAGGTACTTTGAAAATTCAAAACACAATATAGACTAACATGTTTTTCATAGTAGTGTTTTACTATTGTGTATTGAGGACTGAATGTTAACTTTAAAGTCTCTGAATTTTAGTTATGCAGAAACAAAAATAAACTAAAAATAATTAAAGTTCCACTGATTTTTCTTTGTGGAATTCTTAAGTTGTCATTTAATTCTACATTTACTTACATCTACTTCTAACACTTAGAATAGCCTGCAATAAATTCTACAATAAATTCTGTTTCTTTTTTCCTCTGAAGGCTTGTACCATATTTATTACTATTTTGTTGTTGTTTAAAAGCATAAAGAAATCATTTTTGTGTATATTTGTAATCTTCAGATTGTGGAGATGGGGGAAATATTGATTAGCATTGTTTTGGTAGAGGGAGGGCTACAGGGTTGGGTTCTGTGAAAAGCTGCTGGGAGCTTCCCCTGTGTCCATCAGGAGCTCACTGCAACCCCATCCCTCATCCCCTGCCACTGGAAGGGAGGGGGTGTAGGAAATCGGGGGACATGCTATAAGATTTGGTTTTATTTCTCATTATCCTACTCTCATTTGCTCAGTAATAAATTATCCTACATTCCCCAAGTCAAATCTGTTTTGCCTGTGGTAGTAACTGGTGAGTAATGTCACCCTGTCCTTTTCTCAGCCCAGGAACCTTTTGTTACGTTTTTTCTCCCCTGCCCAGCAAAAGAGGGGAGGGACAGAGGAGCTTTTGTTGGCACCTTGTGCCCAGCTGGGGTCAACTCACGACACAATGTTTTACAATACAGCTTTAAATCTGGGCTGGAAGAAGAGGAAAGGCAAGGGCGTCAACTCAATTTGCAAAAGACAGTAACAATTCAGCTGTGTTAAACTGAATTAAGTTTAGGGTCAGGAATCACGGAGTAAAATAATGCAAACCAAGCTACTACACCATTCTGCTTCATTTAGTCTGTGATGATAATGAGGTATCACTGAATACTAAATAGATTGTACAAAGAAGTTTGGGCTTGGAAGGAAAGCTCTCATCCTTTTTATGGAAATGACAGAAACACCAAACAATACCTTTAACCAAATATTGAATGTTATAGGAGACATTCAGTAGCCCCTCAATCTCAAATTGAACATTAAAAAAGTTATTTTAAATTTACTGTGACAATTAATTGCTTTTCAGTGCCATCATTGCACATTGCTGGAAATAATTTTCCTGCACTTGTTCTTATCCTTCTGTAGTTATTTCCTGAGTCTTAAAAAATCTGGTTTAAATTTAGCCTTGTGAAGAATCATTTCAGTGCAATCACTGGATTTTGTTGAAGATAATTTTCCCGCAGTCAAATTTGTGACTCTTATTGCTACTGCTCAGTCCTTTCCATTAAAGGCAGCCCCTCCACTGTTTGTTCCACTACTAGTCATCCAAAAAGTACTGGAAACATGTCAGCCTCAAGAAATTTGTATTGGAAAATGAGTATATAGTAGGAAAACACATTCCAGAGGAACACATTTTACATAGGTTTGAAAAACTAAAAGTAGTAACTCAAGTGTTATGAAAAAAAGAAGTAATTGTTACTGTATTCTGCAGTTTGTTTTGAGGTCTTTGTCTTCCTTCTCACTCCTACTCTGCTCTGCAGTTATATAATAAAACATCACTAATCAGGATTTCACTCATCCCTATACAATGCAGATTGCAAGCACACACACAGAAATTATCTCTTCATGCTTTTTAGCAAAGATTTTGCAATGCATAAAGATTTAGTTTTTTGGTGAATCAAAAATATATTCAAATATTTATGTACAAATTCTATTCATGAGGGATTTATTGTTTCTTAAGAAACAGCTATTTTTTAAATTTCTGTTTCTCTACACAAATAGACATCCTCCTAGGTGTACCATCCTACAGGCAGAGCTGGTGGTCATGCACACAGTTAAAACTGGTTGTCACTTTTAACATTCCCTACAGCTTCAAGCCTCGCACTTTCTATAGTCATTGTCATCTAATAATAATGATAAAAACAGATTTTAACAACTTCAACAGTCCCATCAGCATGTTATCATGATTAAAAAAATATTCTCAGTAAATTTTTAGTGAGGATTTTCCATGTTGAACTGGACATACCATCAAAACATAATATTCCAAGTTCTCTCTGCAGAATTTTAGTAACATTTTATTTTGGGGAAAAGAAAATATAGGAAGCAAAACCACAGCTTTAAGCACCTTATCAAGTTCAATATTAGTAATTAAAAGTTTGAACAAAGGGTACTGGAAACACTGTATTTGTGTTTTATAGTAGCTAGTCATAGAACAAAATACAAGCAATAGTCAGGAACCTGGGATGAAAGCCAAGGTTCATTCGTTCTAAGAGGTGGCCAAATCACGGACTCATAAAATTGAGTTTTCTCTTGAATTATGAAATTTTATATTTGTTTGTTCCACAGAGGCCCAGTATCAGGGATGTGGGTGTTTTCCATACAGCCAGGCTTACATTAAATCAAGATGTTCTCCAGAAAGGTGAACAAAGCCATTAAAAAAAAATTATATATGAGGTGTCTGCTAAATGGGCCATAGGGACATAGGTCAAATGAGAAAAGCACGTACTAAGTAGCTACTTGTTTAGTTAATGATACAAGTAACCATTCAAATCAAAATGTAATAATGACTGGATCACCTCATGTGTGCACAAAATAAGCCAGTTAATGGTTAGATTTGATAACTTAGCATTTTTATAGTATTTGTACGCTTACCTTTTCCATCTGAACATCCTTGTAAAATATGCAATATTTATGTGGGGAAAAAAATGCCACAAAATAGAGGCATGAGCCTCCTTTTAGAAAGGCAACATTGACTGAAATGTTTTGACCTCCTTCAGTGTGTGTGTCTGGATTATTTGGGTGCCAGTCCTGCAGCCCCACAGCTGAAGCCCCAGCTCCTGCAGGCTGTGGGCCAAGGAGAGGCGAGTGGGGCAGCAGCAGGGCAGGGGTGGGCACCCACTGCCTCTGTGGCCACCCTGTCCCCTCTGAGGGGTTGGTGTGGGACCCAGGGCAGCCTCTGCTGCAGGGGCAGGCAGATGTTGAATTCTAACCCAGCTGTTGATTGAAGTGGTGCAGCCACGGCTCACAGGGGTTTTAGCCTCCCACCTACTTTGCTGAACATCTCCTTCCTCCCCCAGCCAGAGCCTGACACCCTCATGCACCTGCTGGTACCTGCACAGCAGACCTAAATTGGGGGAAAACTGACTTTCACCCCAGTTGCCAGTGGCTATAGATATTTTTCAAAGGCTCCAGTTAAGCACAGCTCCACCGAGAAACTACTTCTGTCAGAGCAAATGGGAACCAAGTTGTTTCCTTTTGTTTTCCAGCTGCTCTTTTGTGCCGTGGCCTGTACTTAATCCTCTGTGACATGTGTCCCAGTTTATTCACTGCTAATGAGAGAGATACATTACTGTGGCTATAGCTGTGATACCTGAATTTCCAGACTGGAGGCTCAAGCCTACACACTGTGCCTCCTTTTACTCTCGCCCCTCTGTCCCCTGCAGCAAATAATTTCTATGTTTGTGTTTATTGGGCAGTGCAGTTATGGAAATCCTCTCTCCAGTGCAGTGTGTGAAATGCTGGCTGCGTTGTCAATGTAGAGATATATGCAAGCATGTATACAAGCACAGTTTTCTTATATTCATTAATAAGTGGCTGGAGGTAAAAGTATAGGGAGTCTGTTATTCCCATAACTATTATACAGGTCAGATGAAATGATTAAGATTGATGTGGTGCTTCGCTAACCCTGTTTGTCATCTTACCTCCTCAGGAATTATTTCTCACTGCTTACTTTTAAAAATCTGAACATAACTACTCATCAAAATAAAATATGTTTTTTAGGTTATGTGTTTTTTAGCAAGGAAGGCACTGGGATTTGTTAAATTTGACATGTCTATTTTGCTCTGAGGCTAAATGTAAAATATAATAAATTTACCAATTTTACATGTAAGCATCTATTCTGTAATGTTGAGAGAATGTGTTATAATTGTAAAACATAGGTCATAGCAGCAATATGAACTAAATTATTCTTATATTAAATTTCATAGTAGAAAAGCCAAGAAAACATAATACCTTTTTTCTAAGATTTTGGTCACAAGTGCTGGGGAAGGCTGCACAATAAAATTTGTTGCTGTAATTATTACAGTAGCAACATAGCGTCTCTGGCGGTCCCAGCTTGGGGCTTAGAACTCCCTCTGCACCATGTTAGCTACATTAAATCAGGCATTGGCAATGGCATGTAGGCTTTGTGTTTCTATTACAGCAATGATTATGAGCCTTTGGTCAAGAAAACAAAGGCTAGTTACACTTGGGAACTATTCAGATAGAAAAAGAATAATTCTTGCCCTAAAAATCTTCCAATCTTCTCTCCCATCTAAGAAGGAAGTCCATTTATGCAAATTCCATTACAGCAAATGTGAGCCACATGAAATAAG